AATCCAAGAAGCATGTTCAGGCATACATCTTAAAGTGCCAGCATGTGATACAGAAGTATTTCATGGAGGTTATGAACAATGGCCGTCCTTCCGGGACATGTTTATAGCCGTATACATAAACCATCCAAAGTTATCTCAAGCGCAAAAACTGTATCACCTCAGATACAAAACAAAAGGTCAAGCAGGCGCTATAGTAAAACAATTCGTTCTTAGTGAAGATAATTTTAATCTGGCTTGGGAAGCATTAAAATCACGATATGAGAATGAAAGAGTATTGGTCGACAATCAAAAGTCGTTCCTTTCATGTCGTAAATGTGTAGTTGTTGTTGATAATGTTTCTTCCCAACCTTTTGTTGCCTCTTCTGGTGTCCCTCAGGGCAGTATTCTGGGTCCATTACTCTTCATAATTTTTATACCCGAGCGCACCTGTGCACAAGGGTATTATAACTTTGTTCACATAACGGTTGTTTGTAACAGGCAAAACGAATCGAGATAGATATAGACAAATGTATACATAAATGATCAGAATGAAAAGAGAAATCGATTAAGCGGTGACTGTCTGTCCGTCCGTCCGTCCGTCCGTCTGTCCGTCTGTGTACACGATAACTCGAGTAAAAATTGAGATATCTTAACGATACTTGGTACGTGAACTTCTTTTGGGCGTAGGACGGATGGTATTGAAAATGGGCGAAATCGGACAATAACCACGCCTACCTCCCATATAACGGTAATTTTAAAAATTACGAAAACTGCGATATTTTAGTAACTACTGAAGATAATTCACTCAAAATTGATACTTACAATGAGTCTCAGACGGAAAACATGAATATTAAAAATTTTTGGAAAATGGGCGTAGCCACGCCCACTTATGGTTACATGTGTATATCTTGGTAACCGCTGCACCAATTTCTTCCAAACTTGGTACAGTTGTTGGCCTTAGTACAGCATACTAAATGGCTAAAAAGTTTAAAAATCGGACAATAACCACGCCTACCTCCCATATAACGGTAATTTTCAGAAAAACGAAAACTGCGATATTTTAGTAACTGCTGAAGATAATTCACTCAAAATTGATATTTGCAATGAGTTTTAGACGAAAAATAAGAATATTACAAAATTTTGGCAAATGGGCGTAGCCACGCCCACTTATGGTTACATGTGTATATCTTGGTAACCGCTACACCAATTTCTTCCAAACTTGGCACAGTTGTTGGTCCTGGTACAGCATACCAAATGGCCGAAAATTTCTAAAATCGGACAATAACCACGCCCACATCCCATATAACGGTAATTTCGAGAAATACAAAATCTTCGATAAATCAGTAAATATTGAAGCTAATTTATTCAAAATTGATGATTGCAACAATTCTTTACCAAGAAATACGTTTATGACAAAATTTTGGAAAATGGGCGTAGCACCGCCCACTTGTGATCACATATATGTATGTATCTCGCTAACCGTTCTAGCAATTTGTACCAAGCTCGGTATGGTTATTGTGCTTGCCACATAAAAGCAAACCGTTGAAAATTGTTGAAATCGGACTAAAATTGAGGCCGCTTTTCATATAACGGTAAATTTCAGAAATGCTTGAAATTTCAATATTTCGAAATCTAAGGACGCTAATTTACTTAAAATGTATACACCCCGGCTTATCATGTAGCGGTAGCTTTCGGAAAGGAGGAAAACATATATTTAATACTTGCGCCGGGTATTTAATGTTCGGCTCCGCCCGAACTTAGACTTTCTTACTTGTTATTAATGATATATCTGATTGTTTTAAATTTTCTGAATTTATTTTATATGCAGACGATTTAAAATTTTTTAAAACAATTTCAAGTCGATCTGATTCAGCTAAGCTCCAGTCAGATCTCAATAACGTTGTGGCATGGTGTGATAAAGATCACCTTCAGCTAAATATTCGGAAGTGTTCTCACATAACGTTTTCTAAGTCTAGGCAGTTTTTGGCTACTTCATACTTAATTAAGGAATCACGTCTCACCACTTTGGATGAAGTTTCTGATCTGGGAGTAATTTTTTATTCAAATTTCCTATTTCTGAGTCATTTAAATTATATAATTTCTAAGTCATATTCTACACTTGCCTTTATTCGGCGCTTTGGTTCAGACTTTACTGATCCTTACACTCTAAAATTACTATTTACCTCGCTTATACGATCTAAGTTAGAATATGCGGTCTTTATATGGAGGCCATATCACCTTTGTCACATTAATAGACTTGAGCGAATTCAAAAGAATTTTCTTCGTTTTGCTCTCAGATCGCTTAACTTTGCTGAACCGATTCCTTCGAATGATGCTAGATGTGCTTTAATAAGCTTGAAGTCTTTACAAAGTAGACGTAGTGTTCTTTCACTCTGCTTTATCTTTGAAACTATCAGTGGAGAAATTGATTGTCCATTTCTTTTAGAGCGCATTTATTTTTACATTCCACAAAGAAAATTGCGGAGCAATGATTTATTCTTTCTGGAGCGAGTCCGGACGGTTTATGCATCCTATGCTCCGATTCATAGAGCATTGAAAGAATTTAATCAAATCTCAAATTTTTTGGCCTTTGATTTCTCGTCGCCTAAGCAATTGTTTAAATTATCATTGAATGAACTATATAGTTAAGCTTGAACTTGTATCGTTAAGTATTTTTGTAGTAGTCTGTAAGAAATCATGTATTTCTAGATTTACTAGATATGAATAAATAAATAAATAACGATTTTAATGAGCTTGCCAAAAATTCAAAGGAAACAAGCGAAGAATTCATGAAATTACAGTCCACTGTATCAAACTGTTTGTCGGTTCTCGCGACACAAAACATTCCCATTGATAGTTGGGACCCTATTCTGGTAAACGTATGCGCTGCAACTTTACCAGAAAAATCGTTACTCTTATGGGAGCAATCGCTCTCATCCCGAAAAAAATGCCCAACGTGGCAACAAATGAAATACTTTCTCACTACCCAATTCGAAATCGCAGAAAGGGTAGATAGAAAAATATCAAAGCCGAAAAATACACAGCTCGACCTCAATAGAAGCTACTATAGACCCCAAGCTAGTAACAATAATTTACATAATCGAAGTTTCAACAGAACTCAATCGTTCATCGCAGAACAAAACAAAAGTATGTCATGCGAATTTTGTAAAGGAGGTCACGCATTAAGATCTTGCGAGAAGTTTAAAAAACTTACAACAACCGAACGATATAATGTCGTTAGAAATAATAGACTTTGCACAAATTGCTTCTCACACTCTCACATGCAAAAAGACTGTGAAAGTAAATTCAATTGTGTATACTGCCAAAAGAGGCATCACTGGATGCTCCACATTAATAATTTTACCCCCCAAAATAGCTCTAACTCGCAAAGAGCCACAGGGCTAGTTGCAACAGCTAGACCCGAACACCCCGAAAATCTCGAAAACGAAGCCGAGAAACCATGCTGTTCGAAAACAGCAAATATACAAGCGCTTCATTCCGAAAATGAAAGCAAAATTTTACTGCCAACCGCGATTGTCTCGATTGAACATCGAGGAGAATTATTCAAGCTTAGAGCTCTAATCGATCAAGGCTCACAAAGATCGTTTATCTCATCAAAAGTACAAAACCGGCTAAAACTCCCAACCAAAAACTCAAACTTTGAAATTTCGGGAATGGGTGGAAGAGTAATACAAAACTCTAATAAAATCTGCTCATTAACCCTGATTTCCCCCAATGCGGATGTAAGAATAGAGGCACACGCCATAGTTCTGCCGCAACTTACAAATATGCTTCCAAGCTATAAAGTAAATGGCAAAGATCGCCAAAAATTTGCCCATCTAAAATTAGCGGATCCCAACTGCCACACCCCCGCGCAAGTTGATATCCTATTAGGCAGCGACCTAATCCCCCAAATAATGCTAGAAGGCATTGAGAAAATTTCAAATACCCTGTTAGCCCAAAATACCATCTTTTGATGGATACTGAGCAGCCAAATAAAAGAAAAAATATCGGTATTCACAACTCAAGTTAAAGATATTTCAAACGAATACCTCAATTCTCAATTAAGAAGATTTTGGGAGTTAGAAGAACTCCCCCCATGCAAGTCATTACCCCAGAAGATAAGTATTGTGAAGACTATTATAAAGCCACAACTACAAGATCAAAAAACGGCCGCAACGTCGTACGGCTACCATTCAAGCCACAATTTCCCGACACACTCGCCTTAGGCCACTCTCGAACCTCAGCACTTCAGCAATTTTTAAGTATGGAAAAAAACCTGCTTAAAAAAGGCGAGCTAAAGACCTCGTATGACAATGTACTCGAGGAATACCTCCAATTAAATCATATGGAAGTAGTCGAGTCATATGAAAAAATTACAAAAGGTAAATATACTTAATTTTACCTCCCACACCATGCAGTAATAAAGCCAGAAAAACTTACAAAAAAAGTAAGAGTTGTATTCAATGCCTCGAAATGCACAAGCTCAGGCAATTCATTAAATGACGTATTATATACGGGACCCATACTACAACCTGCTTTAATGCTCCTAATACTAAATTGGCGCATGTTTAAATACGTTTTCAATGGGGATGTCGAAAAAATGTACAGACAAATCCTTGTACATAAAAACGACCAAGATTTTCAGCGCATTATATTTCGCTATTCACCTAGTAGTCCAATACGCGACTACAAATTAAAAACGGTGACATTTGGCGTAAATTGCGCCCCCTTTCTTGCCATTCGAACACTTCACGAATTAGCAAACGATATAAAAGAAAAACTGCCTCTAGCAACCCCGGTGTTAAAATACAAACTTATGTGGACGATATCCTGTCGGGAAGCCACAGCTTACCCCAAGCCTGTGAATCACTATCTCAAGTGATCCAAGCCCTCAACTGCGGAAGGTTCCCCTTGAAGAAGATAACGGCCAACCACCCGAAATATTAAAGAATATAAATAAAGGCCACATATTAGACACAAACTTCCTCATCTTTGAAAAAGAAAGTACCACCAAAACTCTGGGAATAAGATGGAATGCGATATCAGATCAATTCTCATATACTCTTGAGTCAATATCTGCAATATCCGCAAAAACCAAAAGGCAAATCCTGTCGTCTGTGGCAAAACTTTTTGACCCCGCAGGATGGCTTGCACCAATTATGATCCAAGCAAAGATACTCATTCAAGAATTGTGGCTAGACGGAACAGATTGGGACGAACAAGTTAAACCACTACGCTTGATGAAATGGTCCCAATTTGCCAACAATCTGAACACTATTTCGGAAATACAAATCCCTCGATGGGTAAACTACTCTCCCGAACATCAAGTCGAACTTCACGGCTTCTGCGACGCCTCTGAAAAGGCATACTGCGCTACTATATACGTGCGCACCCAACAAGATAGCAAAACAACAAGCCACTTGCTAGTCGCAAAAGGCAAAGTGGCTCCGCTAAAGACCGTAAGCCTACCACGACTTGAGCTATGCGGGGCGCTCCTCCTTGCAAAACTAGCCTCCACCGTTCAAACCCACTTAAGCCTGAACAATCGCAAATTACATCTATGGACTGACTCTGAAATATTTTTAGCTTGGTTAGAAAAACCACCCCATATGTGGAAGACATATGTGTCGAACCGCAGAGCCCAAATAATTGACTTAGTTGGGCCAGCAACTTGGCGACATGTAGCCAGTGCTGACAACCCAGCCGATCTTGGCACAAGAGGTTGCAAACCCCTGCACCTCGCCACCACCTCACTCTGGTGGAACGGCCCCAGCTGGCTTACAGAATCACAAGAATTCTGGCCACAATCCCCGATACGCAACATAATACCCCCCGAAAGTCGAAAAATTGAAAGCTTTCATGCCGTATTGGATGATACTGACATCCTGGAGCGATTTTTATCGTTCCCCCGAGCCCTCAGAGTAATAGCTTATATGTTTCAGTTCATAACTCGCCTCAAAAATAAAGTAAAGGAGCGACCAAGATCTGCAACGGGCTAAAATCACTCTGATTATGTCTACTCAGACCCGCTATTATGACCGGGAAATAGCACTTTTGATGGTATCAAAGCCAATAGATAAAAAGAGCCCACTCTTAGTTCTTAATCCCTTCCTAGACTCGAAGGGACTGCTACGCGCCAATGGGCGTCTTGCAAACTCCAGTTTGAGTTATAACGAGCGGCACCCAAAAATAATACCCGAAAAATCCCCATTTGCCACACTGTACATAAATTATTTGCACTTATTGATGCTACACGCCGAACATCGGCTCATGCAGCAAATGATCCGACAAGAACTTTATATCCCACTACTAAAGCCTCAGATAAAGAAATGTATTTTCCTGTGTAAAGTCTGCACTCTACATAAGCAGAAAATGCGCACGCAGATCATGGCAGCTCTACCACCTGGACGCTGCAATTTCTCTTTGCCCTTTACCATCACGGGTGTTGACTTTGCGGGGCCTTTCCAGAAAAAGGCCTCTATGTTAAGGTCTTCCACCTTTACGAAGGGCTATGTGGCCGTTTTTGTATGTTTTTCGACAAAAGCGGTACACGTTGAGTTATGTTCAGATCTGACAACTGTAGCTTTTCTCGCGGCATTTGCTCGCTTTGTCGGAAGGCGTGGATTTCCCTCAAAAATAATGAGCGACAATGGCAAAACATTCGTCGGAGCCCAAAGGTCCACTGAAAGGCAATTTATCCAATTTAGTAAGGAAGTCTCGCCTGAAATCATAAAGAAATATGCACCCCAAGGAATTAATTGGCAATTTATTCCGCCTAGCGCTCCACACATGGGGGGACTCTGGGAATCCGCCGTAAAAAGCTTTAAATCGCATTTCAAGAAGATCGCTAGTAATTACAAATTTACTTATGAAGAGTTCACCACTCTATTAGCTCGAATTGAAGCCGTCCTCAACTCACGGCCTCTCAATACCCTCTCGCAAGATCCCTCCGAGTTCACAGCCCTCACCCCTGGGCATTTTCTCAGAGGAGCTCCACTTCTGGCCATACCCGAGCCAGAAACGCAATCCCTATCACTCACAAATCGATGGGAAAGAATTAAAGTTCTCCATCACGAATTTAGCCATCGATGGAAGGAGGAATATCTAAAAGACCTCCATAAAAGATACCGATGGAAAAACACTCAAGAAGCGCCAAAGATTGGAGACTGTGTCCTAATTCATGACGAATGTCTTCCCCCTACGGAATGGCGGCTCGGCCGCATAGAGGAAGTATATCATGGCTCCGACGGTCATGTCCGCGTAGCTGATCTCCGTACACAAAGCGGCATACTAACTCGACCGCTCGTCAAGCTATGTTTCCTTCCAACCGCCTCCCCTACCGATGGCGCAAATACCGATATCTAAAATCGTCAAACCGCAATAAACGCAACGAAGCCGTAACAAAACCCGATAATATAAAAAGTGCCTAAATCCGTACCCTCGAACTCACACCAAGTGGCTTACACCTAGCAATCACGCTCATAACTGATTTATGCTATACTAAAGTCCGTTCTCCCCTAATGTAGAAAAATATGGACGTGGAAATGCTTGAAGCCACACCAACGCCAACTATCCGTTCGGCAATCACCGTGCCCCGCTCGGCAGCACCGCCAGTAGCAGCTCCTCGCTCTACTGTGCCACGTACCGCAGCAGCTCCGGCCGCAGCGCCTCGAAACCTCACGCCCCGACCCGCCGCCGCTCCGATGGCATCACTACGTGCCGAACCTCCACAAAGGAGCCCAGCAGCCGTACATGGCATACGATGCCCACTGTGTCGTCGCCCACACAAACTCCGCCTGTGCTCCATTTTTAGGAGTATGCAGCCGCCGCAGCGCCAGCAAGTCGCACAAGCT